ACCAGCATATCATCCGTTCCTGTACGTGTCCCACGCACACACTGCGGCACCCTTGGCATCCGCGGTATGCACAAAGCTAACGCAACCCCTCGCTACACACACCCCCAGCCATGCCGTTCCAGCCGACCGTCGTGGCCAAGCCAGGCTCAACCTTGCACGCCCTTAGCCACGCCCTCACACCCACCACACCTGCGCCACTGTGTCCTCGACACCACGCACACGGCCCGCGTTGTAGATGCATGCACACTCCACTTGTGCGCCAGTGAGCTGCCGTGGAGCTTCCATGCATGCGTGCTAGGAGCTTGGAGCTGCTCAAGGGTGACCGAGGAGTAGTGGACCGCGATGGGGGTGCAGCGGCGGCAGTCTGTGGCTGGTCCAAGGCGGCGGGGACTGAATAGGAGGTGCGGGGGCACCTTCGAAGCAATTTGTTTACTCTAGCCTCTGCTGTGGGCGCGTATATCTAAGGGATCAAGAGGCGGCTGGAGTAAAAATTATCCTCCTCTGAAGCTTCTAAGGGATCGGTTAGGTGTCAGTTAGAGGAGGAACGTCTTTAGGGGATTTGTTAGAGATGCACCTAATGTCAGTGGAAAATCAGGGCACAGTGGACTACTAGGGGTAACCACATGCATTGCCGCATCGTTGTTCAGTTGTGGAATTAATTATATTTTTCTCAAAAGGGTTATTAAGACATTTCATATTCAGCGGATACTGTGGAGGTGGTCGAGAAAACGCGGTCCATGCGGACAGTATGGGTTAGCCATGTAGGATATCACTTCCAGTTTTGTGCCGGCTCATAGGGGAACAGCCAGCCGCGAGCAGTGTAAAATCCCCACAAAAAAGCATCATGTTAGCCACGAATCGGCCACAAATCGAACTCGCGACCTCCCGCTGATGGACGCATGAAGCTTGCACCAGAGCTTGGTGATTGTTAGTGACTACTCCTTCCGTTTACAAATATAGATGTTTTGGATATGTTAATATCGAAAATACAAAGGTGAACATGGTTCCATGTGCACTCACAATAATAGTAAATTCCAAAAAATACAAGAATTTTCTTACAAATTCAAAAAAATCGGGTTATCAAACCTGCTCGAACATTCTATTCACGTGTGAAGTTTCATGAAGTATTGACACCCGTGGTATTCTTAGTGAAGAAAACACAATTGAGACCATACTATTCATCAAACAGTGTTTTTTAATATATCTTCGATTTTAACATTTTTGTCCAGAGTACCACGGATGTCATTTCTTCGTGAAACTTCATATGCGAGTATATTGGTTGACTATGTATGTTACACAAAATATTCTGATTTTTTATTTTTTGAGTATTTTTTAATTTACTATTCATAAAGGGCGCGCGCGGAACCATGTTCACCAAATCGGCGTCCATGTCAATATGGACTCTATACAAACTGAAATAAATGAACAAAAACACTATATATATATATATATTCAATTAAAAAACAAAGAACATTTTTATTTTTTAACGGATGGAGTAATATGGAGCATAAACATTTAAGAATTAATTGCAGCGGTAGATCAGAAATAGTTTTTGATTTTTATGAAATATTTCTTGAAATTTCAAACAACTTATTTAATGCTGAACCTTTTTTAAATGTGAAACTTTTTGTATTTGTGAACAAATTTTCAAAGTGTATAGTTTGGATTTGTGCATAGAATTTGAAAAACTAGAAAAAAACTAAAATTCTCGAATTAAAATTTTCAACCAAGAATATTGTTTAATTTTATGATATTTTGAAATTGGGAATATTTTTTGAATTTGTGAACAATTTGGAAAATAAGTATGCTTTTTTGGAAAAAAATCATATATTTTTCAGAAGTATATTTTCTGAATTTGCAAGCAAAAATTGAAGAAGTGAATTTTTTTCGAAGTTTTGAACAAAAATTGAAAAGTTGAGCATTTTTTGAAATTTTGGTATTTTTGAAAAGCACAAACATTTTTCTGAAATGCGAACATATTTTGAATTTGTGATTTTTTTGAAAACATGAATATTTTTTGAAGTTTGTGAATTTTTTTAGAAAGCAAAAAAAGAACCAAAAAGAAGAAGAAATAACCAGAAAAATCAATAGAAGAAAACATCATAAAAATACCAGGTTCCAGACCCTTCTATAAGGTTCCCAAAACCTGTCAAATATCTTCTAGATGGTGCAAGAAACTGGATCCCGTACTACGTTGGTGTTGTACAAATGGACCGGCCTCTGACTCGTTCGCTCGCTTAATTCCTGTGCGAAGGCCCGTCATTTTGTCGCAGAATGTGACATATAGGGAATTCCGCCATTCATATCGACCCGAAGCACAAAAAGAGGCGACGGTCTTTTTTGACAAAGGAAATATATTAATATTGCAAAAATTATACTAAATCAAAGACACTTATTTTGGGAGAAGGAAGTACAAAGCAAACTCAAAAGAAAATAGGGTCAATGTGGCACAATATACCACGTCCGTATGCAACGGCACATTAGCGGGAAGCGGGGTTGATCACTCTAACCATCAGAGCTAATAGCATCTCTAGCATATCCCGTATGTGACCGGGAAGGTTGGCATGATGCGTCATGTATATATTTAGGTGTTTGGCATGGCATGGTGATGGATGGAATGTATGGTCGATTCGAAACTTGTAAAAGGAGGAAATTGTTGGACGGAATTAATCCGGCGTACGTTCTTGCAATGCATTCATGTGTAAGAGGATGTGAGGCTACATTCATGGAGTCATGTGTGAGAAAAGGTTCAGGGATCTTTCTGCGGAGGGTAGATGAATTTGGAGGGAAGCTATAGCTATGGAGGTGAAGAAAGGAAGAAAGGATCGCCGGTCGCACAAGGCCACCTCGTTCACATCTATCGGAGGGACCAGGCTTGTCTGCTCCCCGCATATACTCCCATCCGTGCTCCCATCTGGTTCAACAGACGTGATTGTTTTACCTGTTGGCCCACGTCTGCACCTTCCCTTTCCTACCCCTGCGTCTCTTTCCTTCGATAAAAATATTACGACCAAAATCCAGGGAACACTGTGAGTGGCCCAGCGATCAGAACATACGAAGGTGGGGCGAAAGGGGTTCCTCGTGCTACTGCACTAGTGGGTCCTTGCCACAGCCATGAAAAAGAGAGAGCGGCGCCGGTAAATTTACGGACGGGGCTTGCAGACGAGCAAAGATCTTGATCTTACTAGGGAGCCTGGAATTTGTCAGCCGGAATTTTCCAGCCGATTGTCCTCGGATTGGATTTACAGTCACCGAACGAATCAGCGGCTAACCTTTCGCTGGAATTACAAAAACGCGTGAGATCGATGGCTCTAGATACCAATTTTAACACCCCACTACTAATTTGTATTGCTGGAAGAGGAATTGCATACAGAATAGCAGTCTAGAGAGAGAGATGGAGGAATGTTTTGGGGAAGAATAGTGGGGATTCAGGTTAGGGTTCATAGATGCCGATCCCTCTACACGGGGCGGCGGCTATAAGTAAGCAAGCATTACATTGGCTGGGCCCCAATCCACACGCAGGTGGTCAAGCCTTCTTGGTGGGTTTCCCGAACGTGGGGACTCCTCCGTAGCTGCGCTGGCCCACGGGCTGCTCACGATGGGCCAGCCTTGAGTCATGTAGAGGCTGTAGTAGTTGTTGAGATGCTTTGTCTAAAAAAAGAGTTGTGGAGGTGCTACCCACCATCACAGGCGTGACAGAGACTTGCGAGGTGAGCACACCATAAAGGAATCAACGGTATTCTCCCCCTGATCCAGCTGGCCCTGCGGCACCTCGGCCAGGTCAACGGTATTCTCCTCCTGATATGATAGGCCCTTTACTTCCTCGGCCCAGAGCTTAACAACACCATGCAGCTGGTCCCGTGGCACCTCGTTCAGGTCAACGGTATTCTCCTCTTGATATGAGAGGTCCTTTACTTCCTTCGCCCAGAGCTTACCAACACCATTCAGCTGGTCCCGCTGCACCTCATCAAGGTCAATGGTATTCTCCTCTTGATATGAGAGGTCCTTTACTTCCTCGGCCCAGAGCTTAACAACATCATTCAGCTGGTCCCGCGGCACCTCATCCAGGTCAACGGTGTTCTCCTCTTGATATAAGAGGTCCTTTACTTCCTCGGCCCAGAGCTTCACGACCTCATCCAGCTGGTCTCGCGACACCTCGGCCAGGTCGTGCCGGCCAGCTTGCATGCGCACCAACTCTTTGTAGAGGTACTCTACCTCTTTCTTGCAGTTTACATGCAAGTTGTACTTGTCGCTGGGGAGCTCGACCAGCTTGGGGGTCAGAGAGAGGGAGACCATGGCACCAATTACGAAACCAATTGACTCTGCTGCATGATACTTCACGAGAGTGGAAATGCGATTTGTTCTCGCGTATCTGCTAAGATGCAAGCAAAATGATGAGTTATTGTGAAAAGTGGAAAGAACAAGTCCTATGTGTAATGGCATGATTGTCATTGCGAAACAAAAATAAGTACCTGGTATGCTCTTTTGTACACTCTATTTTTTGTTCTTCAATCGCAAGTTGTTTTTCCGGGGAGTGCTCAGTTTCTTCTGAGATCTTGAATGAGCAAAGGCACAACCAAAAGGAAACTCATGTTGCAGGTGAACAAAAAATTACCCATGGACACATGGGAGCATAGTCAGCAGTGTGACAATATAAATAAAATACCTTGCCTATAGCTGAACTTCCAGCATCCTCAATCTTATTCAATTCATCCACAATATCCGCTATGGTAGGCCTTTTCTCTCGGTCAAACTCCACACACCTTAAAGCTATTTCAATGCATGTTTTAACTTGCTCTGATGTGTACGATGACATTGTTTCCTGCAGCCGTTTTCTCCAGTTTTCATGTACCTGCAAAGTGGCGAGTGGCATAGAAAGTAAGACACGACAGGATTATTATATTTGTGGAAAGGGGGTTAATGTTCATGATACAAAAAATATTTTCCTTACATGCTCAATAAATTCTTGAGGGGACATTTGTTCACATCTGGAATAGCCCTCATGACCTGCCACTATCCGAACGATTATAACACCCAAACTGAATACGTCAAACTTCGTTGTGATTGCGCCTCTATTGATGTATTCTGGTGGCATGTATCCACTGCATGGTATATATTTAACACAATTATTTCCTTAATTTGTTTTGAAGAATAAATTGATTATTTAGAATTGAGGCATCAACTTACACTGTTCCCACAAATTTGCTTGTGATATGGGTTTTTTCTGATTGGAAAAGTCTTGACAGACCAAAATCTCCAATTTTTGGGACCATGTTCTTGTCCAGCAATATATTTCCAGGTTTCAAGTCAAGATGGTAAATAGAATCTTTGCATCCATTATGAAGGTAATTTAAGCCCTCACTAACTCCCTTAATAATTTTGAAGCGTGTGTGCCAATCTAGTCCGCATGATTCATCTGTAGAGGTAAACATGCAGTGTAGCAAGACGTAAATCTAGGGATCTAAGAAGTACATAAATTTAGGGATTATTGCTCCTCTACATGCAAAACAATTGAATGTGCTGAATAGGGCATAGTCATACCAGAAATATGCTTGTCAAGGCTTCCACTCTTCAAGTATTCAAAGCACAGAAATTTTTCTACCACATGGGCAAAAACATATTCATCATTGTACTTAATGCGTTGATGTCCTAGATAATAGCAGTAGCCAATCAACCGGGTAATATTTGGATGTTGGGCTGTCATAAGGTTATTAAACTCATTCCTAAATTGTGTGTCATCAAGCCCCGGCACGCAGTGAAGCTTTTTGATAGCAATCTCTTCCCCATCATCCAGTACTCCCTGTTAGAAAAATTACATGGGTTCTTATAGTATAATTGCAACATGAAAGCAAGATTGTTCCAAAAATATAATAATATGAAAGCAATAGTCAAATGTACCTTGTAGACTATTCCAAACCCACCACGACCAATTTCGTGCTTCTCAGAAAAATTATCTGTAATTTGTCTCAACAACTCGAGTGTAAACTCCCTTGTCGTCGCACCTGAATGTTCTAACTTGTTCACCATGGTATCTTTTATATATATATATATATATATATATATATATATATATATATATATATATATATATATCTCCTGCTAGGATTGACCAGGTTAAACGTTTCATCTTTCTAGTAAGGCCGAAAACATTTGGCATAGTTGAGAGGCATACATGCATAACTTGTACGGAAAGCAGACACGCTGCATCATACTTTAGCATAAAAAATAGACCTATGCCTCGCCCCTGCGATGGGATGCCGAGTGCTTGTAAGAACGCCAAGAAAGTGTGACCTGGTAGTAAAGGCCAAAGGGATCCACCATGGCGAGCTTGCAGGCAGGCCGGTATGGCATATGGAAGCGGTACGGGTGAGAAGGAAGAGATGCTTGGGTCTGGGTGAGCAGACGGCAGCGGCGTTCGCTGGCAGCCGCAAAAGCCGCTCGTGGAATAGAGAAGCGCCGCCGTGTGGACTTGTATTTGGTTTGGGATTCAGAGTTCCAAGGGATCGATTATTACGGGCCCACTACCTGGTATGGGGGCATTTATGACCTTTCCTCTCTATTACATTTGTTTTTGATTCCTGAGTTACTTTTTAGAAGAGGTAATAGCATCAGGAGTCCCAGAACTTGTCCTGAATGTGATGATTTGGTCTCAAACTTGCAAAAGGTAACTATTGAGTCACACAACTTGCAGCCAATGTGCAATTTTGGTCCTACCCAATCAGACGACGACAAGTGGAGCCAAGTCAGCACAGCCCACTCCACCTGGTCAGCACCGTACTTTTTGCAATTACCCCCCTGGACTTAGCACAAATAAACCCGCACAACACCACCTGAGTTTAACTGCGTGGTATATTCCTGGAATATCCTGCTCCACTCACTCACCTTTGTGCTAAGGAGGAAATAATTTGTCCTTGGCGTTTCCGATATTTGCATGATCCACCATCATGCATGCAGTGAGCGTAGCCAACTAGTCATGCAGTTCATTGCAAATCTCGACCCTCAGATAAAAAAAGTAAACACATACATGGATTCCCTCTATTTTCGGAGGACAAGATGTTCTGGAGACACATTTTTATTGATTCGCGCTATTTACAAAATCGCTCCAGTTTGCATGCAGCCTGCACAAAACCACCGAAGCGCAGCAGCCTACCGATGCTAGCTAGCTATACATGCTGCCGGCCGCAGAATTACTACGCGGCCTTGGGCGGAACCACGATGGGGCTCCGCACGATGTGGTCGTCGAAGACCCACTTCAGGTTGCCCTCGGCGCCGGCGACGCTCGGCAGTCCCGCCCACCGCACCGTCACCGTGAAGCTCTGCTTCTCCTTGGCCTCCGCGAACCGCAGCATCGGCAGCTGCACAGTCACCGACACGTCTTTGGGCATGTCCACCACGGCGGTGTACACCGAGTTCGGCTTCCCGACGTTGGTCACCGTGCGGTTGACTGTGATCGGCTGGGCCAACAGGTTGACGATGAGGGACGGGTAGTTCAGCTCTGCCTCGGTGGTGGCCTTGAGGCTGGCGCAGGTGACCGGGCGGTGGGCGATCTCGGTGACGCCCTCGTCGCCGATGCCGAGGCCGCAGAGGTAGGGGAGGTAGTCGTCGGCGTGGAGGTCGTAGACTAGGCCGGGTCAAAGGCGAGCGCGGGGTTGACGTAGCCCGCGCCCATGGCGTAGAAGGTGGCGAGGCGGTACTGCTCGTCCTTGAGGGGCACGCCGGTGCGGTCCACTGCGTCCGACGTCGTCATGATGGAGGATTTGATCGCCGCCGGTGACCAGTCCGGGTGCAGGCTCTTGATGAGTGCGGCGATGCCGTTCAGGTGCGGCGTCGACATGGACGTGCCAGACTCCACGAAGAAAGAGAGGCCGACGCCCCCGTCGGAGAACTCCGTGTGCGACTCGCTCGGCGCCCACGCCGCGAGTATGTTCATGCCGGGCCCCGTGATGTCCGGCTTCAGGATGCCCGGGCTGGCCTTGCTCGGACCTCGGGACGAGAAGAAAGTAACGGCCGGCGCCGGCAGCGCGCCCATGACTGTGCCCTTGAACGCGATGCTCGCCGTCGGGTTGGCCGTGGAGTTGATGTAGGCCGCGATCTTGGTCCCGGCATCGCAGCTCAGGTGCGAGGCAGGGAGGACATGCGGGTCAGCGAAGGTGGTGTACCCCCTCGGCTGCTCTGTTCATCACGATCATGCCCACGCCGCCGTACGCGGACACGGTCTGGCCAGCCTCGATGCGGCCGTTCAGAACTCTGCTCTCGCAGAGCACCACCTTGTCGCTCACCTCGGCTCCGCGCAGCACGCTGCAATCGCGGCTTGTGTCGGAGCCGTCGGCGGCGGGGTACATAAGCGGAAGCGGCTTTGCGGCGGAGTTGTTGCCTGGCTGGAACAGGGACTCGCCGTCGAACTCCTCGCCGTTTCCGAGCCTCACGGTGGTGCGTATGGCGTGGTCCATGGTGCCGGCCGCGACGGTGAGCATCCAAGGCGCCCCGTTGCCGACGGAGCCCGGGTCCGGACCCGCGTTCCCCGCCGCGCAGCTGACGAAGATGCCGCGCTCCATGGCCTGGAACGCCGCGATGGCGATGGGGTCGTACAGCCTGAGGCAGCCCTCTGTGGTCCGCAGCGCCTCGGCCTCCTCCTCTGTGAGCCGCGCGGCGAAGCCGGTGAACACGTGGTTGTAGGAGTAAATGATGCGCGGGCCGTGGTCCTCGGCGCCGCCGCCCGCCTCGGGCTCCGATTCGAGCGCGGCCGTCCGCGGGAGGAAGGAGCGGTGCCACTCCTCGACGGAGTCGACGGGGCCGCCCCTCGGGGCGAGGTGCAGGATGTAGTTCTTCCTCGCCCGCAGGTACGACGCGCCGAGCAGAGGCTGCAGGGAGAGGAGGAGGCGATGACCCACCGGGACTCCGCGGCGGCAATGGCGGCGACGCAGTTAAACTCAGGTGGTGTAGTGCGGGTTTATTTGTGCTAAGGCCAGGGGGGTAATTGAAAAATGTGCTGCGCTGACCGGCTCTGCTGACTAGGCTCCACTTGTCGTCGTCTGATTGGCTAGGACTAAATTTGCACATTGGATGCAAGTTGTGGGACTCAATAGTTGGCTTTTGCAAGTTTTGGACCAGATCGTCACATCTAGGACAAGTTGTGGGACTCCTGGTGCTATTACCTCTTTTTAGAAGAACCAGAGTGAAGTGAGAATCGGATGTAGTTTGTGTATTTCCTTCAAGGGAAATAGTAACTGAGGATCACCTCTGGAAACATGTGTTGGGGAATTCGTCGGCAAGCAGAGGTCATGGCATGGAGTATCTAAGATCCAAACGACCAATAATAGTACAGATGAAAGAGGTGACAGTCATGAAAGAATTCGCTACATGTCGGATCTCCTGTGGTCGACTCAACAAAATCTCGGTATGCACCAACCAATTAACACAAAAGCTCACTTTGATGTTCTTCCGACCACAAAATTTGAACGATCTGCCTGGCAAGCGAAAGGAGAGTAGAGACAGATCTGGGGGAAAAGATGCCTAAGCGAGAGTTGCATACACTGGGGGCAAACCTGATGATCAATCGAAGAACTGCTAAAGTCCTGGATCGACTGAAGAACTGTTGAAGTCCTGGATGGAATGGATCTGGCTGGAGAGCGAGATTGACGACGCGGCTCGCTGGTTGACGGGAAAGATATAGTACTACTCATGTCCGGCCGCAGGCTAGGGTTGCAAGTGGACAAGTGCGCGTGGTCCGCGTTGGGAATTATTTAAGCAGCACCATTATTACAGTAAGCGACAATTAGTTCAGTTCCTGCCGTACAGTAAGCGACAATTAGTTTAGTTCAGTAACCCACAATTAGCGACAATTAGTTTAGTTCAGTTCCCATCCGAAATTGCATAGGGGCACTCGGCGACTACACACTGGAATTTGCACCATCAATTCTCATCGGGATCTGCAATCACTATATTAGCTGATTTGTATTCAAAGTTTCGTAGGCACGTATTTGTCATGCACTGCTCTGTATGTTGGTAGCACAGTCCATGTGCTTCTGTCCTTGAGGGTGATCTTTCTGACATATGCACTTCTGTCCTTGAGGGTGATCTTTCTGACAAATATGGTTGAGACCGCTATATCCCCAATTTCGCATCAGTCTTCAATACACAGGCGCCTCCCCATCAGTCCTTAGAGCATCTCCAACCGTTCGGCCCCCAAGCACAGCGGTCAACGCTATTTCGGGCCATCGACCGACGCTTTTTAGGCACTGGGGGTGATCTAGGTCCCAGTCACGGCCCCAAGGGCCAGCCCCAACCCATTTAAATTCAAACGCGACATTTCCCGCTACCAAAAAAAGCGGCAAGTCCGGCGATCATCGTCACAAAGTCCGGCGATCCCCATGCCACAGGTCGGCGACCAAATAACTTGAAAGTTCGGCGTTCAAAAAGAAGGACGCGTAGGCGGTGCATCAAACGGCGACGCCGTCCTCCAACGTCGGACTGGCGGGAGTCGGCGTGCGCGGGCTGGTCGGCGTCGGCACAACTTCTGTGCTGGGCGTCATGGAGGCGCTGGTCGGCGTCAGCGCGGCTTCTGTACTGGGCGTCGTGGAGGCGTCGCTCGGTCTTGGCGTGGTCGGCGTGGGAGTTGGCGCTGCCGTCGACAGGATCTGGTTCAGGATGAGGCCACGCTCCACCATGAACCACGCCTTGACTTGCTCATCCATCGCCGACATG